GCAGGTGTTTTGAACACCTCTCAGCAGTACTGAAGCACCACACTGCTTGGTTTCATGCTGTCAGGCCACTGCTGTCCTGAGCTTTGATGTGTTTCAAGTACAAATAAGGTTAAGTCTTGCAAAAACATCATAAATAATTTGGTTTTCTGCTATAACTGTACCTTAAATCTCTCACATTCAAGTTATAGAAATTCTGAGAATTTATCCCTTCAGTATCTCAGTAATGAGGGAGCTTTGGCAATACCTTCAGAGAAATCCTCCTCTGATCTTTCATATATGCTGTCTAGTCTTGAATATAAAAGGAAACTTATTTTTAGTGTGACATATTTCTTTGTAAGTTCCAATCCCTGAATTTCTGAAAGTAAAAATAATTCTAGGCGAGTGTCATATTGCAGGATGCTGACAGAATCTGAAGAGGGCTCAGGTGGCTTCCATACAAATCTTGCTTGATCATGTGAAGAAAAATACAGTAAGACTTTTACATGTCAACATGTACAGAAGAAGCAGTTCTTTTAAATGAACTATTTCCTGAAATATTTAGAATTTCTTACACAAAGGAGCTTTTCTCATCAATTCTTCTATGGAATTTGCTAGTTAACTGTCCAAAATTGAGAAGAGACAGGAAAATTCTCTCAGGTGGAGCAAGTTACTGTACCACTGAACTCTTGCCTGGATAAATTGCCTTTTAATAATGCTAAGTAGATTCTCCCTTGAGTATATTAAGGTACTCCCTTGAGTATACTAATTTTAATTAATTCCCTTAACATCTGAAATACTAAGAAACCACAACACTGAAATTTATCATGTACTGTCTATTACATTTTTCTGTAACCCTCTCCTTGTCCTGGGAAAATTAATTTTTCTAAGAAATGAAATAAAATCAGTAAAACTTACCTGAGGTAGCAGGGACTGTTGTGGTTGTAGGCAGAACTGTAGTTGTGGGTAACTTCTTTGGTCGAAATTTGTAATGGCCAATAAAACCATCAGCTGTTAAGCTTAAATCAGACAAAAACTGAACGAGCAACTCATTTCTCTCAGAGAGAATAGGCCTGAAACAGAAAAAAAAAGAATATTTCCATTCTTGTGAAAGCCAAAGGCAAAAAGCATTTACAGTATTCTTATTAAAAAAAAAGGAGTGTTTCACTTTAATTATGGTCTGAATGTAGTATCTGCCTCCAGACTAATGCTGAAATACTTGGTTCTTTGCTGGTGTTCTGAGGGTGAGGATGAATCATCTACAACTCTGATTCCTGAAGGTTATGTCAATATGAGTATCATTAAATTCTTCTGTGTGGATTCATTGCAGACATGGAATATAAATTGGCTTCCATGGAATGGAAGAGACCAGATTAACACAGTGAGAAAATGCATTGAGGAAATTCTCAGTAATTGTAAATGTTGGGGTTTTTTTTAATTTGTTTTTGTTTAATGAAAAACATATTGCACATTTGGAAGGGCTGAAGAAAATGAATTCAGTGTTGGATTCTGTAACTCTTCAACAAAACTACCAAAAATGAAACATTTTGGGGTTTTATTTTTGCAGGCTCACTGTTTGTCAGTGATTGGATATTCATTACCAAGGCCTTGAAGAGCTGATGGAGTTACTTTCGTAGGATTTGGAATGTCATTGACAAGCACTGCTTAGGGTGTTAGTTTTCAGTTCACAACTTCACAGAGCCCTCTGTGATACCGACTGCCACTGGGTGTGGATGTAGTGCAGTGAGATTTCCTTCCAGATTACTGTTGGGAAAATCCTATGGAACACAAATCTAGCCAAAGCAGCACTTCTCTCATTCTTTTGAGCTTTCCATGGACCTTGTGTCAATATTCATTCATGGTTAGTCACACAAATTTTTTAAGCACAAACAGTTTCTGGAAAGAGGAACGGACCTTATGTCAATATTCATTCATGATTAGTCACACAAATTTTTCAAGCACAAACAGTTTCTGGAAAGAGGAACTAAAATACATATAGGTTCAGAAGAATCTTGGTGAGGAGAAAAGAAAATCGCAAATGATTTTAAGATGCAGTTTTACTAAAATGGCTGTGTTGTTTCTTCCCTGCAAGTCTGGCAGAGTGCATGAGCAGGACTTCTTCAAAACACTTCATCAGGCCTTTGAAGAAAAACTTGTTATCATCTCCCTTTTCTTCTGGCAGATTTTAAGATTTTAAGAAATCAGTTTACTCTGATGGCCAAGTCTGACATAACCAAAAGGAAGTGCCTGATTATCTGGAATTGTCCAGATTTACAGCTGCCATGGCAGTTGCTCAGACTGTGCTTTTCTTGCTGCAGAACTGACACAGCATGTGGACATAGGAGGGCACTGATTATCAGCTGTCTGAGAGTTTTGTTCTGCTTCCTGAGCACCAGGAATACAAGGCCAGATGTGAAAAACTGACCCAGTCAGTGTATCCTGTCTTCAAAAAGTGGCTGAATGGAAAACGAGTCAGATAAAGTGAGGAACAAGCCAAGGGCCTAGAGACTTCAGCTGGATCTCTGTACTTCAGTGTCTATGACAAAAACATACGCACTCAGTTATGTTAATGTTCAGCTACCATCAGAATTGATATTATACCAACATCAACAGCATTAGGATTAGTATTGGGGTGATTAGACAGTGCCTGATGAGGCTTGTGGGACAGGAGCGAACGTGGGTTAGAGCCAGGGCTGGTCACAGAGAGAGCCAGAAAAGAGAAATCCTCGGGAGAGACGAGATACTAAGCAACTCCTACCAGTTCAGTCAGAGGTAGAAAATGTCCTGTTTAATTTCCAAAGCAATAATCTTTCTGAAGCCTAGCACAACACTGCAGCCAAGTGCCAGTGGCAGGAAGCCGATCGCGCGCGGTCACTCACGCGGGTGGGCTGTCGCCGCAGTACTTCCCAATGCGCTTGGCGTCGTTGATCTCCCCACCGTTGAACACAGCCACATAGTCATATCTGCAGTAGTTGTCTCTCTCCACATCAAACTTCTCGAACTTCAACTCTATTAGCTACAGGGAAAATGTAAATAACTCCTTAAGGTTTTGAGATGCAGAATTTATTAGCACTTCTTGTAGTAAGTGACATCTTCATATGAAGTACTATTTGATTTTTCTTTTCATAAAGGAAAACTGAATCCACTCAATGGTAAAGCATTTTAATCCATGTGACCTCTCCAACAAAGAGTTCAATGTATGACTCCAATACTCCATAAAACATTTTGTTTTCAAACATATGCAAGTAACTTCTGATCGAGTTATTTTGATGAGTGAATGAAACAGCAGTAGGCGTTAGGTGTTACGTTGCTTTTAAAATAACTGTACAGAAAAGAGCTTTTAGTGTCACTGCATCATTCCAGATATGCTAAAGAAAAACCAAAGCCAAAGTTGGTAAAAGCTATTTCACTGACTTCATTAACAACAGGGATTGAATCACTGTGGTTGCCAATGCTGTGTATACTTGATGCAGAATGAAAAAGGTTAGAAATGAAAATGCTGATAGGAAGTAAATCAGCAAAGAGTAAGGCTAAAACTAAGAGAAATTAAGCAGTTAAAAGAACTGCATTTCCAGGTCAGATTTCCAGAAATGTTGAGGCTTTACAAGCCATAAATGAGAACTAGTATAACCCTGGTATTTCCAGTACTGATGTTATTATCTCCAGACTTGTGTTTATGGAATTTTCTACTTGATGAAGGAAAACAATGGACAAGAAAACAGAAAGGGAATCTACTACTCTGAAATGAAGTCGTGCAGAATGACTCTCTCGGTTGTGTGTAGCGAGGAAGGGAAACACAACCTAACTGCTCCATGGAAACAGAGCTAATTTATGCATTTTGGTTGCTTCTTCATATGAAGCACAACAGGATTTAAATCACCTTCCCATAAACAGCACAAATGAGGTTTGAATGACAACACTGAAATGTGTTGATTGTAGACATGCAGGATTTCTTTTTAAAGGTCTGTCTCAAACAAAGATGATATTAAATCTTCTAAGAGTGTGCAAAGAAAAAGGAGTCATTAGTACATGGCATACACCTTACTTGACTTACTGACTTAGTAAAAATTATCTTGTTCTACATTCATAGTGATCATAGCCTGTTATCACCTGATGTCTGAATTTTGCCTGGATATGCTTTTGCACTATTCAGATGCTGAAGGCATAATTTTGTTTCCCATAAAGTATGAGTAACCTTGGGAAACTCAGCTTCAGAGATGACTAACAGGCTTGTTCCAAAACCCGCAGCAACATGGAGAAAAAATGCACTTTAAATGGAAGTACCCATCTAAATAACACACTTGTGATCAAAAAAGACAGTGTAGAAAGAAGTAATGCAGCTGGGAACAGAAATGCTAAGTTTCTGCAGAGCAGGCAGAACAGCTGGCCATAATAACTACCTTAGTTCATAGTATCTTCCTTAGTTCATAAGTGCACTTTGCACTAATAAGTATTTCCTGATAGAACAGAAGCTCTTCATGATCAGGAGAAGCTCCTCCATCTTCCGTAATAAATGAAGTAATCAATGCTTTGTATTCAAAGCAACAAAACAAGAGTGCCTTGTTTCAGTTCTCACGTGCTTATGAAAGGGAAATAGAGACAACAGCACCGAAACTTTGGCAAATAGAAGACTGAAGAGCTTTCTATGTGCTCTTGAAGAGAGATCCTTATTCACTACTTCCTCAAAAATGGCTTTTGTCACTGTCAAAATTCTGCCTCGTTTGCACGCGACAATCACTCCTGCAGCACACGAGTAACATGTATTTGGAAACACACAGATTTATGTAACAGGATCAACAAAAGGCACAGGATATAATGCCCTTCTTTTTATGCTTATAGAGCCTTTCTTAAATCTTCTCTATCAGCTTAGGAAAAGTTCTTAGGCTTATCTAGAGACACTTGGAAAGAACCAAAGTAATCTGCAATTTACAGATAAGGTTTTAAAAATCACTGCCTATCTATGGGATTGTTTAATGACCTGTATCTAGCAAACAAGAAATGTGTATTAAAGAGGAGTACAGGAAGGACCAAGCTGACAAACTGCTTCAGTTCAAGGGAGAAACTATCTTGGTAAGTGAAAAGTATGAAAGATCAGAAGAATATATTTATCTGGGGCAGCTTTTTTTATTTCAAGGCTTACGTTCATGAGCGGAAGATGAAGAGGAAAGTCGTCTTTACATGTAAATGAATTTAAAAAATCTGGATGTGGCAAGAAAAGCAACCTACCAAACATGCTTGACAACCAAAACATTCAATCATTGTGGACCTCCTGCCAAGGTACAGAGCAGATGGCTCAGCAGCAACCAGAAAATGTGGAGCTAGGATTGAGATTAGCTCTACAGCGTAGGGAACACGCTTGTGTTTGCCATGTGTGGTAAATGAACCTTCTTGGTCTTCGGGTCTTAATGGAGTGCCAACATATGTTCTGGCATGTGTGGCAAATGAACCTTCTTGGTCTGCTGTCACATCTCTTCGGGCCTTAATGGAGTGCCAACATATGTTCTGGTGGCATCTGGCTAATTAGGCAAGCACCTTATGAGACAGAGCCTTCAAAATATGAAACAAACTATGAAATGTATCCTGAAAATCCCTTTCCAGGACACAGCCAAATATATTCCCTGTGGTGTAAGCAGAATAACAAATGAACCTTCTTGGTCTGCTGTCACATCTCTTCGGGCCTTAATGGAGTGCCAACATATGTTCTGGTGGCATCTGGCTAATTAGGCAAGCACCTTATGAGACAGAGCCTTCAAAATATGAAACAAACTATGAAATGTATCCTGAAAATCCCTTTCCAGGACACAGCCAAATATATTCCCTGTGGTGTAAGCAGAATAACACAATTTCAGCTTTTAATAAATTCCATCAGCTCTGCCTGAGTACCTCAATAACAAGTTGGAGCAACACCAAAAATGCTCAGACATTGTTAGACTTAAACCCAGCACTGGTCATCAACATGTTTGGTGCTGAGATCATCACCTGCCCCAACTTAATTTGCATGATGTTTTGTTAATCAACAAAGTAATCTTTAAAAAAACCCCTTGTTTAAAAGCCTGACCAGTCACAGATGCTTTAAGAGGTTTCCCTTAGGGGAGTGTATTGGTGCATGGCAGAGGACACGCCGTGCTGAGGAAGCACAGGAGTTGCTGGAGTGAGACAGATAACACGAGTGGAAGGTTTGGCAGCGCTCGCTGCGTGTACCCGACCTGATGTTTCAGCCAGACAGCGTTTCAGTGCTCAGGCAGTGCAGGCAGCATGGCACACAGGCTCAGCTGCTGCTGGGTGTGAGTCCTTGCAGCAATGGCAGCTGAGCTGCACTGGCAGAGTGATGGCAGAGCCTCACCTGGTTCTTTGGAGCGACGATGTGCCAGGAACAGGTCACTCCTGCTGGGTAGTCTCGCTCTGGCCAGTTGGGCGTCTGGAAGGACCCGGAAGGCTTGTCCAGTCGTCCTCCACAGTACTGATCCCCTGCAAGACAGCACACCATGCTGACCAGAGCACAACAGGGGAGCCACAGTTCATGTAGAGCTCCAGTGTTGCTGCAGGGCCTTGGTGAGGGAGGTCAGCCAGTCCCAGATGGTTCTGGCCACCTCTGCCATGGCCCCACCACAGGATATGGCTGAGCCATTCAGCTCAGCTGGTGGCACCTCTGGGAAAACATATTTAATAAAGGGCAGGAAAAAAAAAAGAAAGTGAGAAGCCTTTCTGTGAACACTGGGGCCGGAGGAGAAGGAGAAGCTGCAGGTACTGGAGCAGGAATCTCCACAGCTTGTGGGGCAGCTGTGGGGCAGCTGTGCTGGGGCTGACAGGCATTCCCAAGGGAACTGCAGCCTGTGGAGTGTTCACAATGGAGAGGGGTGTATTTTTCTTTCGTATCTCCTCCTCCCAGTCCCAAATTACAAAGCAACATCAGGTATGTAATCCTGATTTACAATATGATTATGATACGTTTTTGATAAATTAACTCTATCAGGCCACAGTTGTTTCATATATCTTTCAAAAGGTTATCAATACAGGGCTACAACTAGAAAGACTGACAAATTACTCATCACCTGCACTGCATCTGCCCAACAACCTGTCTAATCTGGTATCATGCCGATAGCAAAAGCCTTGAAAAGAGTCACTCCCTGTGATACCACCTCCCTGTGACCTCCCAACCTCTCACAGGTCATACTCTTGCCAAGCACCAGGCAATGCCTTTATGTGTAATAACATCAAATAAATCTTTCTTTGATTTTTTTTTAAAAATCAGTGTAGAAATGGACAATCCACGATGTCCTCTGGCATAGAACTCCACCAATTCACAGCTCACTGAGAAAAATCACCCTCTCCTTTCCTTTGCAGTCACTTGCTCATCTGGTTTTTGTATTAGAAGAGACAGGGACTGTGCTCCCCATTCCCTTTCTCTGTACCTGTCATAACTTCAGAGCCCTATCCTGCACTGCCTTTGACCTTCTCGTTTCCAGCATGAAAAATTTCATACTGTATACTTGGTCGTTGTACAGGTGATGTTGTTTAACTCTATCATACTTGTTGTCTCTGACTGCTTTAGATGGTTTATTATATTCTGTTCTGAGATGGGAACATGAGAATGGCACACACTATTCAAGACATAGATGCATTGTGGATTTATAGTGGCATCATTTCTTGTTGCTATTGTTTGGTCTCTATTTCCTTTTCAAAAAATTGCTAAGTTTCTGTTTCTTTTTGATACCTAATAAGAACTGGATCGATGCTCAACTACTGTTTTCATAAATTTTCTATTTTAAACCTAACATCTCATTCCTAAGAAGTAATAGTCAATTCAGAGCCTGTACTGTACACAAAGTTAGGGTGTTTTGCCCTTTTTTGCAACATCCATCTATATTGAATTGCCATTTGAATGCCATTGAAATTTGCCATTTCATGGACTAGCTATTACCATTTTATGACCAGGCACAGTTCTGCTACTCTTAACAATAGTCAGCCCTTCTCTTTACTAGTTTGATTAACTAAGATGGCTAAACAGTTACACTTTGCTGTTTGCTAAGCAAGGTAATAAATACATTGAACAGCACAACCCCTAATATCTTTGGCATCACATCTTTTTAAGCTTTGATGTGGCTCTCCATAGAGCTCTAGAGCTATATTTGTCTTCAGCACATATACAATGGTTAGTTACCTCTTTCATGTGGTTCTGCTGCAGAAAACTTTGCAATGAATCCACTTCCAGCAGTATTAGCATCTGAAGTCATCTGCACCAGCATTTTATTGCTGTTGGATACAAGGGCACCTGGTTTCACAGTACCACAGAACCGGCCGATGCGTTGGCCGTTGGCATGGCCATTGTATATATCCACGAAATCGTATCGGCACAAGTTGTCACTCTCCAGGTCTAAATATCGAAAAGAAAGAACCACGACTTTTCCTTCTGGGACCTGCAGAGAGAGAGAGAGATTGGGAGGGAGAGAGAAAGAGAGAGAGAGAGAGGGAGAGAGGGAGAGAGAGAGGGAGAGATGCATCTTCAAGTGTGACTGACGCCACATATCTCAGATGTTTACATGACTCTTTTCACACCCTTCACTTCTTGCCAGTTAAGCTCTTTTTTGTCAACTATATTCCAGGCAAAGCAGTTTTTGAAGTAGTTTGGACCAATCATAAATACAAAGCCCTGGCCATCATCTTCTGATCCATAGTATCCTCTAGTCAGGTTCCTCTAGTATCCTCTAGTTGGTTATAAACCATCACTGCTCAGTTCAGCTTGGCGCGTTTCTCTTATTTCC